GAGACGTTGTATGTTGCGTAGTGTCTGCGCGTGGTGTTTTTTTATGCGCGCGCGTGTGCGCGTGTGTGTGTGCATGGTTGTGTGGGTCCTGCTGTGTTCATGGGTTGCTGTGTGTGTCGCCTGTTGTGGTGTGTGTGTTGTGTGTGTGTGTTGTGTGTGTGTTGTGCTGCACGTGTACGAGTCTCTGTGGAACAGCGGTGGGAGGCGGCATATAACCACATCTACACATAACAAAACGGCTTGCGGTTTTTACCACAGCGTAGGAGTGTAGTACCACCACCTCATGTGAGACCTTCTTTTTGACAGTTGAGTAACCGAAACCGCCGCGTTGAAGAGTGCAAACCCGAAAGCAGCTCTTGAAACATGATTTACCAGCGCAGCGCTTCGTCTCACTACTTATGCATGCTACACATTTCTCTACGTCACACCGATATAGTGCTATAAGATTGTACCTTACCTTCTGCTCAAGGTGGATGAGTCTCGTGGAAACAACGTCGCAATTCGCCGCAACGGCCTGTAGTAGGGCGCAGAATCACGCGATGATCTTGATTACTATGAGCTTTACAGCGCCACTAGCGGACAAATGACGGTTGTTAGTACCTGTCGAACTTGGTGAGTTGTAAAACAGTGTCTCAGATCAGATCACTCATCCGTTACCGCGAGGGGAGGCATTAACAATGAAAGCAGGAAAGCAGTCCTATGGATAATTACCAATAATAATTATGCGAGCCACTGTGTGTCATGTACCGAGACGGTTGTACTGTCAGTTCATCCGTAACATTTAAGTATTACGCGTTACCTGGTGTCACGACGTGAAACTTGTTGCTGTACGTTTCGCTCTTAACTAGCTCTGCGCTCGTTAGATACAATAATGTAATCCAACAAGAGTAGGGATTGGGTTTGTTTTAGAAACCCTAACTTCTTGTTGGCGTTCATTATTGTATCTACGCGTCGTATACTAATGGTTGAGCCAACTGCTCACCTTATTCAAATTCGTTTGTAAAAAATCCGTGACATAAACATATTATGATATTTCAGACGCGATTCTGTAAGAACTAAGAGATATGGCCGGTCGGGGACGACAACCTGATCGGCTATAAAAGACGGTCTCATCTAATATATAGACAATTAGGACATGGCTTTCTGCTATAGATGTATAATTTTGATCATGCTTACTAATTTATTAATAATACTTATAATAGTAGTAGATATAATAATAATCTGTTGGCGCGAGATATCAACGCCCTCTTGTTATTTTTGGTTGCTATAGGTCGGTCAGCCAGAATCAGTTCTTTACGTTGCACCAAAAACCGTCGACTTTCGGCTCTTCAGTTAAATAATAAGTGTTACTTTGTTAGACCGGCCGCTTCCGGCAACGCTGATTGGTTAGACCCTATCTGATAATCACTCCAGGCGGATTGATCATTTGTGCATTGGATGTCGTTAAACTGGACAGTTCGCCATTGCGATTAACGTCATTGGGGACATGACATTTCATGTTCCATATTCTTTTAGTTTCTATCGGCAGAGATGTGTTTTTACTGTAACATGATATTTTTTATTTGCTCGATTGGAGAATACTATGAAACAATGGAAACCTATGTAGTTCGTGCCATAGTGGACATGTGGCGCCTTCAGTTTCCATACTAAATTGATCATTATATATTTTTTATTATGTATACTATATTTTATATTAATTTAAATACGATTGTACGTACAATATCGATGTATATTAAGTAAACACGATAATTACGAAACACCGAGAACATGTTAATTATAAATCAGCAATATTGTTATTGTTCTGTTGAATATACGATCAAACCAAGAAACCCGTGTTATTTACTCTAAATTATATGCTCATATATCTATGTAACCTTGAAATGGTCATTAAATTATTTTATGTGATTAATCATGATTTAGATTGAGGTTTATTTTTTTCAGAGTTGACCAGAATCGCTTAGAGAAATCTGAGATGCCCATTAAATATATAACCCTTAGACCCCAAAACGCCATATTTGGTGTTTAAATAAATCACGCGGTAATTACTTTACTACTTTTATAATAATTCCTATTAGCCCACAGAAAAATATCATGCAAGCTAGTAAGTTACTAGGTAGCAAGCAGCATTGAATGGAATAGTAAATAAAACGCCAACAAAAACTAACAATGTCTATATAGTGAGTGTTCACATTACATCAATAGTATTTATCGTCGCTTAAAACATTTTATTCCAAATGTCATGTGTTAAATATTTGTGCCTCACACTGCTAAAAACGGCATGGTGCTACTTTAAACGAAAACTCCCCCCCCCCACCCCTGAATGTGAGTAAGGCGTGGTGGCATGTTAACAGGTCTGTGTCGAGAGGCATTACGGTGCGTGGCTAAATAAGGCACATGAACGTGCCGCAGCGTTACAGCTCCTATACGCAGCCGCAACCCGGTGCTTGAGATTGGCGATTGATTTGCCGAATTTGTCGGCTCATTGCGAGCGTCAGCTGAA